TAAAGGGAGCGGGAATGAGACCGAGGCCTCACCCGCCCGTCCTTCCTTCCAGCAAACGTTCTGGTACTAGAAGTGGGATATAATGCCGAAAGTGATTTTTGTTGAATTGCTACTCTATGGTATGCCCCTCCTCCAAAGCGTGTCAGTGCTTACTCAAGTCATATTCCGTTCAGCGACACATGCCGTTTTGGTAGTTGGTATGGTCTGGATAATTGGTGCATCCTTGGTCTTGATGCCTTGTCTACGATACGATACTAATCCCAGCCTCAGTGGTCCGTGATAAAGGCAGGAGCCGCTTCATCCAGTGTGGACTGGTCATTGTGGTGTATCTCATCGTGACATCCCCTCTCGCCATGCAACCCATATTCGTCCAAAGAAGAGATGATGGCACCACCTACATCTATTTGCCCAGGTGGATCCTTTCAACCTCGATGTCCTTCATGGCAAATATCTTCATCAGAAATTGCATTGTGGTAACCAAATCTCATTATACCCATCCGACAGAATGAATTTGATGCAGGCAATGTTTTAGATCTGGTGGTGTTGGTTCCTCTCTGGTCGTAAATGGATATTCGCCATTATTCCAGGACGATGCACCATCATCGGATCGAGTTTGTCCATTTCATCATTGTTGTCCTCAAATTAGAAGTAACGTCCAAAGTATTTTTCGCAGGCTTTGGTCTATATGAGATAACTACTTCGCCGCCACCAGGAAACGCGTGTGTGGCTCAGGTTGATTGGATGCTCCCTTACTACTCTATGTCGCTTGCCGCAACAATGCTATGCACGCTAGCCATCCTATATCGAATCGTCATGGATCGCTGCAAGAGGGGAGAACCTGCCAGCTCTGGATCAAGACCATTGTTGAGGCCTCATTATTTTTCACTATGGGGCCGGTGATTTTGTTGATTATCTACATCAAGAGCGACATGCGTACGAGTTGTCCAATACTTGATGTAACCATGTGTACCATGAGCTTCCGTTTGATGCCTTCTCTAGGCGCTAATGTGACATTGTCAGGGTCTGGCACCTATCCTGGTCATCGCTCCAGTATCTAGCGATGTGACTATGCAGGAATCTCTGCCATTGGTCCCCTTTTGAGTTCAGGACAACGTAGTGTAGTACATGTGAAATAAAAGATGCCTTGTAAGATAGTAGATTGCATAGGCACCTCACCGTTACGTTTTTCTGTCTTTTGTTCCCCTTCCGAAGTTATGCCCTGGGCAAGTTCAAAGTCCGGGGCCAAATAGACATCGACACAAGTACTGGACTAAGGCACATTGCTATTCACGGTACGTCTTGAAATCAGACGTTGCCCTCGCCCCTGGAACTCCATTCTGATAGTAAGGCTATGTTTTCTAGATGGTGTTCTCTCCGAGGTGCATGAAATGATGTCCACATTGACTGCTCAACATATACCCGAGGCGCCTAACGCTATCACACTTCCTCTTCTTGCCAATGTTTCTGTGGTGCCGGCCAATCCACATTTTGTCGCCCTTATGGACGGCACTGAGCAACCCAGAGTACGTCAATTCTAAGGGAATCTGAGTATGAAGCCAATGCAGTTCAAAGAAGATGAGATGATCCACATGACTTCAAACACATGGAGGTCATTGCAGTAGGTTGGCAGTAAGTATTTGGGGTCGTTGAGTCACACATGTCACAAACGTGCCATCATCGAATCCAAATTGACCTGCATGGAATAGGCTGTACACGTGATATTGACATGATAAGATCGCGTCGCGTCATTGTCCAGGTCGCGTCCATTACTGAGGGCTTGGCAAGTCCGGTTTCAAGTCCTCTACAGTTTACATAGAGTAATTTAATGTTATTCATAATCTTCCGTTTTTCTTCCTGAGGAAAACCATTATTGCGCACCTTATAGAATGTGGTTAACCGGCGACAAATCCAACGAGTTTGTTGAACAGTAAAATAAAGTCAAACTATCAATGATTATCAGTAATAGGTGGTGCGTTGAGTGCGCAGGTGCGAAGTCTCAATTACGGTAACACATAGAAAGCTGGAGGAACACGACTCGGACGGTGAGGGTATCTATCAAAATATCGATACTAGAAACATAACCTTTTTCAGCTCTGATTTTGCTGAGATAACATGACTCAGTCCTCTCAATTTTCACGAGATGTACCTCCCACATTGCCCTGGGCACCCAGCCTACAGAGTTCAACATGCGTAGGCAACACCATCGGTGTCACGGTATTGCTTGGTACCTGACCAATAGCTAGAATAGGTGCCAAGCTCTGACAATGATATATGAGCACCTGGGAAAGAGCCCTTCGAGCTGTAACTCACCATAATCATAGTCATACCAAGCAGTGGGCAGGCTGTATGCATGTCACTCAAGATATAAGCAACCGGCACCGCAGCGAATAACAATAAGGACTGAATGGTGACATTGATCCAGAGCCGAAGGGTTCTTCCCCAAATACGCGGACCCATTGCGATGTAAAATAGGGAGACCAGTGTGCACGAAAGTGTTACGGCAAGTATCATAGAGATGTATGGGAGCATCCAGTCGATTTGGGCCTCACATGCGATGCCTGAGGGGAGCGTAACGGTCATCTGATGGAGGCCAACACCTGCAAAAACTAGGTTGGGTGTCAGTTCTAACTGTTTGATGATAACGATAAAAAAAGCTGAACTTGTTCCAACGATGATGCATAGTCCCGGAATGACAGCAAACATTAATCTCTGACCAGAGAAGAGCCAGCACCACCAGATCTACACCAAAGTCTGCGTCAGTTCCTTCAAGTCAACATGTAAGGACAGGGATATCTGCTCACTGCAATGCACGCTGTAGTTAATATCACTACTACGAAGGATGTCGAGCTCAAGAGCATCCATCCATGAGAATAGATGTATTGTTGTGTTTCGTCGTTGGTAATGCCTTGGATGAATTTCCACCGAAGGGCGAGAGGGGATGTCGCGATGAGGTACATCACGATGACCAGTCCGCACCGGATGAAACGAATCCTTCCTTGATCATGGACTACTGAGACTGGTATTAGTTTGGTGAAAGTGGACAAATAATCAAGACAGAAGACGCACCGACTCTCCAGACCGTCCCAACCACCAAAGCAGCATGTGTCGCTGAACAGTATATGATATGAGTAATTGCTGACACAGTTTCGGGGAATGATGAGGGTACCATAGAGTAGCGATTCAAAGGATGTCGCTTTCAGCATTGCAGCTCGGTTCTGAAGTGAAAATTCTGATGAGTAGGAGGCAATTTCCAGGTCCGTGAGGTATGTTTGTCTCGCGCTATTTAACCCTTCCTCTGTATTTTGCACAGCTCATCTTAATGGGGACATGGGGACCATGAGCATAGAACGAAGGGAACACGGACTTCATCAGCAGTAAGTTTGCTGGGGAGTAAAGACATCTCATCTTAATGGGGAAGGTGAATAGGATGTTGCCATGGACTAAGATTGAATAGAAAGGAATTGATGAATGTCCTTAGCAGCCGTGGGCTCCCTCAAGGTGTACTTTGTATAGCCTATCTAAATGGGGAAATCGGCCACCGTCAGCTAGTGTTGCCAGTGACTCGGCTTGATCGGCTTAATGCTGAAGTCGAGTCCGAGTCATAAATGATACAAAGACAGGATCAGCAACTACGTTGCCGCTGATATTACTAATACGTCCTGTGATTAAATGCAAACAACAAATTAACCGTTATTTTGAACATCAGTGCACTCAGAAAAAAAGGCTCGAAAACGACTTCAGCGTTAAGCCGATCAAGCCCAGTCACCGACAACACTATTGTTAGCATAGAAGGGAACGTAGAATTCATTAGCAGTAAGTTTTGAGGTTGGGATCATCTTAACGGGGAAACACAATGGAATGACCGAAATGAACAGAGCGGATTTGATAGATGTCCTCAGCAGCCTTGGGCTCCCTGGTACTTTGGACAGCCTATCTATATGGAGAAATCCTGACTATCAGCATAGGACGAAGGGAGCACGCTGACAGATTTCAACAGCGGTAAGTTTGCTGATGAGGTTTGGACGAGGGTTGGCACATCTCACCTTGAGGGGGGAAACAGATTTTACGACATTCAGAGTGTGTGCATTCCACGACGTCCGAGTCATAAGTAGTACATCAACTGCGCCGATACCTCCTTGATCGTTCCACGTATTGCATCACACTAGTAAAAGGAGAGATCCATGGACTGTGTATGGCAAAAATGTTAGTACCGGAAGGGAATGATGGTAAGTAAGCCGGTTGCACGGATTATTTTATTTTATTAATTCAGCACAAATGTCCTTCCTTCCCTTGAACAGTTGATACCCGCCTTGAAAGGCTCCGAGGGATGTGCTGTTGGCATAAAGTGTGGAGTCAGAGCCCGAGGCTGGGGCACAGCCATACTAGACCATGGGAGTATTGCCTAAGGTTAGAACAGAAGGTGGGTGCATTTGTTTGGATTTGAGTCAGAAGCATCGAGCAGGTCCATGGGCACTTGACGACTCGGATGCCTTCACCTATTAGAAAGACAAAAGGTAGGAAGACCGTTCAATGCCGAAGTTCTGATGGTCCCGTTTGGTATTAGCAGCCAGAGGGTGAAAACATGACACGTTTGGCAGATAAGAAGAAAAATAATCTTCGTGAACAGTAGGGTCGCGCACTGTGGATCGGATGTATGCGCCGGGAAAGAAACTTCTCGCATACCGCTGGGTACATTCCTTTGACATGAAATAATTCTTCGTTCCCTTGAACGACTGATACCCGCATTAGAAGAACAATGCATAAGCACGGAAAGTCAGAATGCGAGTTGAACACCCATACTAGGTCTAGGGGAATGTTAAATAAGCACCTTGCAACAAAGAAGACGATGGACTGTCCATATTTGGGTGACAAGTGCTAATCAGGTCCACGCGCGATGCCAAAGGAGGGGGAACAATGGATGCCCAACTTCTCATTGGTTGAACAGTGAAAAGTTAAGTTTGAACATTGTAGTCAAAATTTACAGACGAGAGAAATGCCTATTCCCTCTAGCCGACTTGAACGACTGACCTCGTCATAGACATCTAAGTCAATGCATACTAGTGACGCGCTCTACCAACTGAGCTAAGAGGGAGTATGTTCTTTCGGTATAGGTAAGTGAGATATAGATATGCTGTCATGGCGAGATGAGAACAACGCCGTATACACTGAGTTCGAGCTCAGCCCGTAGACAATCCCAATGCGCCATACTGCCGTGAAAGTGCGGAAGAATTTGGGAGTGAACGCGTTGTTATGAAAGAATTAGCATAGCGGTCGGACGGCGGGGAGGTATGAAAAATGGACTGGTATACAAAGATCGTTGCTTCCCGCTTGTATAAACCAAAAGGAAACCATATAGCTTGTTCTCGGTACGTTCCCTGGCCGACTTGAGCGACTATCACGTTGTCTGAGCCGAGAGGCACTTGTTAGGATCAGAGTGCACTATACTGAAAGTCGAGCAGCAGAGCTATATTCAACGTGCATAACACAGCAGTCGAATGAGCCAATGCGACATACTGTCTTGAAAGTGCGAAGGGTCTCGGAAGAGTCGGCGGTTGTTATAAAAGAATTAGCACCGGTCGGACGGCGGGGAGAGATATGAAGATGGACAACAAAGATCGTCGCTTGCCGCTTGAAACTATCTGATCTGTTCTCAGTATGGTTCCTGACCGACTTGAACGACTATCACGTTGTCGGTAACGACTGAGCCAAAAGGCACATGCTGGTATCAAAGCGCACTGTACTGAAAGTCGAGCAGCTAAGCCTATATTCGCGCATAGCCCCGGAGTCGAACGAGCTTGGCCAAATTGTCGGTGGTGTCAGGTCTCGGGATAGATCACGAGGACAGTGTGCGCAGCAAGGGCTTCGGCTTGAGAAGGACGCGCTTTGAATGGGCGTAGGTAATGTGGATTTATCAAATTCGACATCCGCGCTGAGACACGGCGAGGAGTGCCCGACGAACGACAAGCAAGAAGATAGTGCTCACGCCAGATGGGAGAGACGGGGACACGCCATTCGGCCAACAGATGACGAGAAACAGTGACAGAAGCATCAAGAAACTGATGACATAACTCCTTGAAGCAGATCAAAACTTTTTCACGAAACTTTCCCTCCCACGTGGCTGTCCAAATAAAACCCTTCTTGCTCCCACATTTTTTTCTCTCTTCCCTTTCCCAACACTTCCTTCTTTCACGATGTTCTCCGCCTACGTCGCCCTCGCCGCGCTCCCTCTGACGCTCGTTCATGGAATCACTATCAGCAACCCGACGGAGACCGTCACCTCCACGGGGCCCATCACCATCCAGTGGCAGACGTCGTCTGGCGATCCGTCCGTGTTCTCCATCGAGCTGATCAACGAGTCCTTCAACAACCAGTACGCCATCGCCAACAACGTTGACTCCAGCCTCGGATCGCTCAGCCTCACCCTCCCTCAGATCCCTGCCGAGTGCATCTCACTGTCTTTCCTTTGTTGTTTCACACACTAACGCACGGCTTGGCAGAGATGGGTACACCATCGAGCTCGTGAATATCTCCAACATCAACGATATCTACGCTCAGACGGGCACGTTCTCCGTCTCGGAGCCCGTCAGCTCGTCAGGCTCGGCATCGTCGACGGGGTCCGCGAGTGCAAGCGGTAGCGCGAGCGCCAGTGGCTCCGCCTCCGCGTCGTCAGGTTCAGCGTCCGCGTGAGTCTCCTTCCTTCCCTCTATCACCCCTTCTCGCTAAGCGTGCTTCTAGGTCCGTATCTGGATCTGGCTCCGCCTCCGTATCCGGGTCCTCCACCCGCGCGAGCTCCGCCTCAGCCTCAGCATCCGGATCCTCCACCCACGCGTCGTCCACCTCGCCCTCCACTTCCTCAGCCGCATCCACCGCCTCCAGCTCCGCATTCAACGCCGCCTCGCGTGCGCACGTCGGAGGCGCCGGTATCCTCGCCGCTGTCTTGGCATGGGTCGTCGCTATCTAAAAAGGACTTTTTCATACTCGGACGAGATTTCTTTTTGGGGGGCTCATTCTATCTATTTTACGAACGATTACGCACACTCATATTATACCCTCCTCCAAAATATTCTTCTCATTCTGATGGACCGTCTACTACGTACCATCATTTTGTACCTACCGCCTGTCGTTGCTTGTCAATTATCACTCCCTGCTCGGCTGTTGTGTTATGCCATTATTGCGTTATGTTGACGAGGGAATGTGTTAGCCTCAGTGCCCTGAAAACTCGTTCGATTCAAGCTCATTACGCAATGTACATTTAAACTTATTGATCCCTCTTAGCTCAGTTGGTAGAGCGCGTCACTAGTATAGTTTGATGGCGCATTATCATGACGAGGTCAGTCGTTCAAGTCGGCTAGAGGGAAGTACTTTTTCATGTCTCTTTTCTTCGAAGTTAATTTCGTTCAAATTTCAAAATTCCGTTTTCGCTGTCCAAGCAATGAGAACTTCACCTTTTTCGAACTCGGATTATATTCTCTTCCTGACAAGTGACCCACGACACGCTGAAGAAAAACCAACATTCAATCGGAACAGCTGGTTGTTCCCCAGCCATGAATAGGGTAACGGTTCAAGTGGAAAATCCCTGTTGGTTCGATTCCAGCTCGATGGCATTGGATCGATTGTCGACTACAAATTTTTTTTTTGCTAAGACCGAACTTCAAAACTGTCTATTTTTTGATTCCCTTTCCTACTCTTTTCTCAAATCGAGGGGAAACCCCTCTTTACCGCCAAGTTGCATCTGGCGGTATGGTTTACCATACGAGACTTTCCGGCTCGTATTCTTCTTGGGCTCCGACGAGCCTATATTCTTCCTTCAAGTGAAGTGACGACGTTTGAGTCCTTGGGCCCTGAAGCACGTCGGGACTCTCCGCAAAGGCGTAGAAGAGTTCATTCGATTCGAGCTGATGCGACGCGATGTAAAGTGGAAAATTTTCCCAATTCACGACTCAGACTCGGACTCTGGAGCAGCACGCAAACCGAATTGGCACAGAACACGTCGCTCTGGACTGCAGTGAGTGTCTGAAATCAAGCATCCTGAATACATGTAGGAAGTCACAACCCCTCACAATCATATGGGCATTATGGTGTAACACCCAAGGCTAGAGTAACACCACTGCTGGATCGATCCCGGCTAACAGTGTCACTGGGTGTGTGATATATGATTTTTTAGCAAGTAGTGGCAAGGATCATTGACACAAATAGACTTGGCAGGTTCTCGATTCCCATCTACATGATTCTTAGCGATCAAATCAAGGTGCTACTACCTTTTTCAGGCATAGGCCCTGGTGGAGAAACTGGGTCCCGACCTTTGCTTGCAGTCGGCCATGAGAAAATCTCAGTCTGTGTCCTCTTCCGTACATTTACGTTGTCTCACTCGAGGACGATCCACAAGCCGTTCGATCTACTCGTCATGGAACCCAATTGTTGTGCCCTGAAGGGCGGGATGGGTTAGCATACGCAGTGCTTTCTTTGGGAGGCGCGAGCGGTGTTTCTTCTGCTCGACATCGTCCTGGTTTTGTAGCAGCAGCGAGCTCTTTCCCCAGACAAAACATTCACAGATCTCTAATCCGATTAGACGCCATATCGGTTGCTGCGCCTTGAACTTGATGATGGTCTTCTTCGATGTCAGTTTCAACTTCTGTGTCTACGTGAGCCTGCTCATTCACACCACGCCCGCTTCTATGTCCAGATTTGGGTAGGATATACGTGCTTCTCTTTCGCTCTCCCCCTTCTCACGGTTGCTGGCCCTGCTCACGCGGGTCGTCGCTCCCTTGTTTGTTTCTTTATCGGATGCAATCCAAAAAACTGACCGTCCTTCCGTACGTCATTGCTGATACACAGCTGCTCAAATGATTTGCTGCATTACACCTGTGATCCCATGGCATACTGGCACGTTTCGATTGCCCGCAGGGCCCAGGAAGTGCTTGTTCGATTCTAGCTCGTGCCGGTACAGCGATATGACAGTCAATCATTGTTCGCTTTCTCTACTGACGAGGCTGTCACTGATTCATCTATCGCTTCAATTTTAGCATATAACTATTCCCTCGTAGCTGGCAGAGCTCATCATTATTCAGTTCAACTAGCCGTTCGAGTAGGTCGAAGGGAATTCAGGGCTCCTGTGGAAATTCTTCTTGACTCCCTTTGTGGAGCTTCAAGCTAAACGCCTCCAGTGCTAGCTTCTGTGGTTTACCGACTGTCGTATATATTTTTCACTGCCAGTTTGTAAATTCTCAGGATACCACTAACTCTGACTTTTGGCCTCTTTTTATTACCTCTCCGAGTCACGTCGAATATGCAGTTGGTTCTCCTTTAATTGAATGGTTTCGTCTTCTGTCCTGTCCTTTTTTAGACTCCAGTGCAAGGAACATTGGGATTCCAAGCACCGTCCGCAAGAGTCGCGCGTGGACCTCCTTCCTCTCAGTACCTCCCCGAGTAGCCTAAATGTTCAGCTGATTCTCTTGCACTTGAATACTTTCATATTCTGTCCTGTCCTCGTTTAGACTCATGGTCCGAGGAACATTGTGATTCCAAGCACCATTTACAGAAGTTGCGCGCATTGTTTCTTTTACTTGTCGACTATGTCTCAGTTTGGGCTGCATTCCACCACATACAAAACTCACGTAGGTATGTAGGTCACCTGCAACATCTTCTCATTTATCTGCAGAGTGCTTATGGCTTATGATTACAAGAACGTACATCTCCATCGGTAGTCAGTGCTCAGCTCCTTTATTGAATATCTCTGTTTGGCTGCTATCATTATCGCCGTCTCTGACTTGGGAGGACATGCTAGATCACCACCCTCGTGACTTGTCTACACTTATTTCTATTTTGTCCTAACTCATAAAGTTTCTTATTGCGATTAGGAAACACTACACAGCCAAGCGCGTAAAGTTGAATATTGCCGGTTAGAGCCGTTGTCCAAGCATGGATAAGTTGTGGAAGTACCCTCCTCGTTCGATTTGAGGGCTTCTCTACTTGTATAGAATCGCTGCTTTGGGACCCAAATGCTGTCTCTCCATGTTATGGACTTCTTTCTTTCAAGGTCGAGTTTACCCACCTGCAAGAATAAAGAAGAGGTGAATATTTCACTCGTTTAGGCTTTCTTCTACGCAGGGAAGGAAGAAAATGAGGACTTCGTCCCTCTTTCTTCGAAATCGTGCTTTTCATTAGCCTTAACTTCTTAGACTTGCCAATCAGGAAGTCATTGACAAGTGAGAAAGCTCTCACTCCAAGTGTGTTGCCTCATTCGATTCAAAGTCCCTTAGTTCTCTACAGTCGTTATTTTTTAAATCTTTGGTACGATGTAGAGAAGGACAGATTGTTAAATGTGTTTTTTTAAATAAAATTAATTGCATGGAATTTGGATATGAATTACTCATGACTGAAACCTAGGATGGACTTCTTGAACAATGCTGAGATCGGATGATCAGAGAAGTCAGATCGAGCTGGAAGGAATGATAAGAAGATGCACGTAGACAAGCCATCCCAATACATCCAAGCCATCGGTTGCGAGCATTGTTTGTCTATGGAGTAGTATCCCTTCTTATGTATCTTTTTCTTCTTGAACAATTTTGGGTTTCCGTCATCTCTACCTCTACAAATCATATTTTTGTAGTATGTATATCTCCTCTGATTTTGTAAGTATTCTGTATCCAGAAGTCAGTTACAAATTTGAAAGATTCTCTTGATAATTTGGGATGCCAGAAATAGTAAATTCTAGGGCAAATTGTGGACCTCGGAAACACATTCGAAAACTCTACTATTGGACACAGTTTCTTATCTCCAGAAACCCTTGACATCCTTCTGCCAGAAACCAGATTAGGAAACCTACAAAATTTTGTTGCTGTTTCTCACCAACCAATCCTGTACAGAAATTTTACTTTTTTCAGAGTGTATATACACACAGGGAGGGCAAAAATTCAGGAACACCTTGTATACCCACTTATATGTAAGGTTTCAGTAAAAAAACAAGACTTACTGATAGTGGCACCAATACTGAAGGTTCAAGAAGCACCTGAACTATGCCCAGAACATAAGGTATCAGAGTCGAATTCATTCTGTCATAAAAGAGTTCTATAATCAAAAATTTAGGAATGCCCTGAACTTGTGATGAAAGCCCCCATTTAGAATAAACTTTTGGTAGATGGTAAATCTCTGGTTCCAGGTGGGCCAATTTGAATGCCTCGATTTTTTATTCCGTGCCGAACTCAGGCATGCTGAAACTAGTATTTCTGGGGTTCTGGCAAGCCCCAAACCTTAGGATCACCATAGTATTGGTGCTCCCTATCATGGTTACCGGAACACAAGATTTCAGTCCCATGTACTGATAGCATCGATCATGCTGAAACACATACCCAAAAGGATGCTTTCAGCATCAATTTAGGGTAGCTGGGAACAATTAGTTTTGGCTCAAGCACAGGAACCTCATGATCCATTCCTGGTTTGTTTGATTTGGATCAATTTCACGGTGTCTTGGAACCTTTGGTGTCAGATAAGAATTTCAACAAGTCTCATTCACGATCCGAAATCCTATGTATCGATGATATACTCAGGACGCCCTGAATTTTGGAATCTCCCATGTGATAGGTAAAGGCATCCAAGTCGTCAGGCACCCATGGACCTGGACTTGGTTGACAATTCTGACACAAATACAAACAAGTGCGCCCACCTTCTATTCTAACCTTATGCAATACTCCCACAGTATAGTATGGCTGTGCCCTGGCCTCAGGTTCTAACTCCAAACTTTATGCCGACAGTGCATCCCTCGGAGCCTTTCAAGGCAGGTATCAAAGGGAAAGAACAATATTTGGGTCAAATTAAATGTAATAAATTGATCTGTGCAACAAGTGAGTTACTTGCCATCATTCCCTTCCGGTACTGACATTTCCGCCATCCACAGTCCATGAATCTCTCCTTCTACTAGTGTGATGCAATACGTGGAATAATCAAGGAGGTTCTTCAAAGTCATGCATATTGGCACAGTTGATGTACTTGTGATGTTGTGCAATGCACACACTCTGAATGTTGTAAAATATGTTTCCCCCTCAAGGTGAGATGTGCCAACGATCTCACAAGCAAACTTACCGCTGATGAAATCTGTCAGTGTGCTCCCTTCATCCTATGCTGATGGTCTGGATTTCCCTATTTAGATAGGCTGCACAAAGTACCAGGGTGTCCAAGACTGAGGAAATCCATCAAATCCATTCTGTTCACTTCACTCATTCCATTGTGTTTCCACATTAAGATCTTAATGTGGTGCCCAACCTCAAAACTTACTGCTGATGAATTCCATGTTCCCTTCTATGCTGACAGTGCTGATTTCCTCATTTAGATAGGCTGTGCAAAGTACACCCTGAGGGAGCCC